AGGCTATTTCACGGATCTTCGCGCTTGTTATATCATCATAGCGTCTCCGGTGATTTTTCGCCCTGGTGTGATTCACGGAGACATCATGTCATCAAAAAGTTAGAGTCGCACTCATAACAAAAATTAACCGCGCTTTTCTCGATTGATTAGCAAATTGCTAGTTTTCGATACCGCCGGTAAGAATAACGACCTCCTCTCAGTTATCCACATTCATATAACGTAATCGAACGGTTTCTTTGCTGCTAGTCGTCTAGAAGAGTGCTGAAAAAATTGCAACTCTATGACAGTGTAGCATTCGAAATCCATGGGACAGCGGTGCCATTTTGTTGAGTCGAATAAACATATGCTCGAACACTGGCGGATATACTTCGATTAGGAGGTATTTGTAATAAAACCTTACGTTTGTATTCTGTTTGCTAGTAAATTTAGTTTTTAAATAGCGTCAATGCTAATATACCAGCCAGGCTAAACATAATTTATTGTATGCAATTTCGAAATTGAAACATAAAATTTTATAAAGTATGCTTTTGTGCATTCCTTATAATAAGTAGCATAGCATTTAGCATACTGTTGTGGAAAAACGGTTATCTTTAATTATAGATGCTTCAGTGATTCTGGGATCGAAAGCCAGGAGAGAAAGTATAAAGCCAGCGTCAGCACGCTGAGCGCTGAAACACGCCGTGATGCAGCGATAAGGCAGCCACATACCTACGAAGAAATTGATCGTCACCCAAGTGATCCTGATGAATCTTCGTGCTATAGCTGTACCGGTAGTCCGTGCACAACAACTTGTGACGACAGATGCAGCGAGTACGAAAGAAGTTCGTTTGACTCAAGCTCCAGACCCGTCAGTTTCTCATGCACCGTTTCGATTGACTCTGTACCGACTACAAACGAACCTGCGATTAGTGAAACGCCTAATTCTCACGGCGGCACGCCGTTGGAAATGCATAGGAAAAGAAGCGCTCCAGAAACACTTATTAGCAGCCCACGGCTGCACAGTAACCTAGCTATCAAGCTTCAGCCTACATCAAGAAATTCCACACAAGCCACCAGCACTAAGACAGCACCTAACAGTCCAACGTACAGGTTTTCGAATACGAAGATGGCCATTCTTAACCATCTGCCCGTGCATACAGTGCAAAGAACTATTGTTCCTTGTCAACTCCAGCTCGATATAAGAAACTATCCAAGTCGACCTGCGTATCCGCCTAATTATTACAAAAGTCGTTTGTACTAGTTATTAAATCGCTCAAGCATTCTTGTCATCAGTGCTAATAAAATTCGTTTAGGCGTGTTAACAGTAATAGTGTATCGCTAACTGAACTGCAAAATCAAGAAATCAATAAATATAGGCATCAAGAGATGTCATTTGCAAACTTCGCTTAATACGATCTCACCACTCTTTGCATCTTGACGTTAATAACATTTTAGGAATTCCACGGCTTCCTGGTAAACTTGGCACGAATTGTGAGAGAAAAAGATACCAAATCAGAAGAATAGTTCTTATACCATGATACTGATGTACTTGCAGAGAGCAACGACCTTTCCTAAGTTCTCGACCACAGTGTTTTTCTCCCGTTATCTGCACATCGTCGTCACAGCCTTAATTTGCTACCCTCAGTTCGTGGGCTAGATTTTTTCCCCATACTTTTGATGTGTCAACGTTCTATAACTTCGTTCTGCTCGTCTATGTATATCTCCTGTTTAAAAGATGACAAACATTCTGCGCACTTTTCATCAGGTTTGAAATTAATATACACGGTGATTCGAATCTTTCGGCTCGGTTACTGTGGAGGTCTCATTCTGTCAGCTTGGCCTGCTTTAAAGAGACATAAGAAACTTTGTCAATTTTAGTATCGAT